TATATGTATATATATATATATAAAAATTTTTTTTTTTACAAACAAATATTTGAATCGTCACTTATTTAGATTTTAATTTTTTTTATATATATGTACATGTGTGTAATCTCTGTGTGTATTTATATGTATGTATGTGTATGTGTATGTGTGTGTATATATGTGTATATTTGTATGTATATGTATGTGTATATATGTGTGTATGTATGTAAGTGTATATATGTACGTATGGAGATGTTTATGTTATGTATGTATATGTATAGGTGTGTATGTGTACTTATGTGTATACATGTTTATGTGTGTGTGTGTGTGTATATATACATGTGTAAGGGTGTCCGTATAAAGGTGTATGTATTTGCATGTGTATATATATACATATGTAAGGGTGTGTATGTATTTGTGGTATATGTATGTGTATATATGTGTATGTGTATATATGTGTGTATGTGTATATATGTATGTGTGTGTGTGTATGTGTATGTGCGTGGATGTATGGGTATATATGTGTGTATATATATATATATATGTGTATGTATATGTATATATATATGTATAGGTATATATATATATATATATGTATGTGTGTATGTATGTATATGTATATGTATGTGTATGTGTATGTATAAGTGTATGTATGTATGAATGTATACATAGGGGCATATGTATGCGTGTATATGTATGTGAAAAGTGTGTGTATATGAATATAGATGAATATGTGTATGTGTGGATATGTGAATATATTTTAGGTTTTTTGATATATATATATATATATATATATATATATATATATATGTGTTTTTGTGTGTGTGTGTATATATATATATATATATATATATATATATATATGTATATATATATATATGTATGTATGTATATATATATATATATATGTGTGTATGTGTGTATGTTATGTACACGTATGTCTGGTGTGTGTGTGTACATGCCTACTTGTATATGTTTTTTTGTGTGTTATGTGTTTTTGAACATTGAAATATTTGGTCCTTGCGAAATGAGACAATCGTTATATTCATCTTCATATATTTATATTTGATTTAATTTTCCCAATTACGAAGCGGCCCTTTATGTAAACACATTTTTATTTTCCTTCGTCCCATCCTCTCCCCCCCCTTTCCCCCCCTTTTTTTTCCTTCCTATCCGAATTGTCTGTGGTGTGTATATGTCACTACAGAAATGTATCTTTATGTATTAGACATCCGTCGACTTTCTTTCTCTCCTCTTTTTAAATCCACCCCACCCACATCTCCAAAATTCTCTCTGTCACTCATCCTCATATTTATTTCTCTAAATTCTGTTTTGATTTTTGTTTTTTCTGTTTTCATTTTGAATTTGTAGGTCTGATGATTTGGATCGTATTTACGATTCCAATGGAATAAATTATGACCATGGAATATTAGTGTTTAAGCCTTTTTATTATATATATATATATATGTATTCTAGTATAAATATATATATATATATATATATAAAATATATGTAAATATATATATTTATAGTAGATATATATATATATATATGTATATATATATATATATATATATATTTATACTAGAATACATATATATATATATATATATATATATATATATATATATTTCGTTAAATATGGCATATAAGGAAAAATTTAATAATCTTCATTTAGTTTTTCCAGAGTTCTTACTTTTTTCCGTTTGCTAAGTGAGAGTGTAAAAAACTAAAGAAGTGACCGAAAGCACTTGGACAACGGACCTCATGGATATTTTTTTACTCCCTCATTCCCACAAAACGGAAAAAATATATGAACAGTGGAAAAACTAAATAATATATATATATATATATATATATATATATATATATATATATATATAAAGAACGAAAATTTACATAAATTATTAAAAGTATGCGTCCGTTTATTCTTTAATTTAGATAATTATTAACCTCAAATGTTTGTGCTTCCAAAAACTCCCATATTGAAAAAAGTTTTAAAAAATTATTATAATAAGGTTAAAAATATACCTCTAAGCATTTTTAGACTTTAGTTATTGCGTAGCAAATCTCAACTCATTTTTTAGAGAGATTTTATAGCATTTTAGCGAGACCATTTCTGTTGTTTAGTCTCCCTTAGCATAACACAGCGACTCCTCGCCGAATTCTTGGTCGGCGCCTGAACGGTCGGTACGCAGGCTCTTGGCCTTCGTGGCCAGGACGTCGACCAGGGCTGCGTATTAATTTACGCTTCCATTTTTTTTCTCTGCCAAATGGACGCGAGTTGAATCTATCTTTTTTTCTCTCTTTACTTCGCCTCTTTACTTCTGGCTCCTTGCCCATGTTCGACTCTCGGCATTCCGTCCTTACTGGCTACCCGTACGTCGTCCATAACCTTTCCTGTATACTACGGATATGATTATTACGGGAGGTTTCGATATCGGACTCGACCAGCAGACACGCAACGCTAGCACCGGATATTCGATATGCTCAACAACATCGCAACGCCAGCTCCTCTTTCCTTCCCAACACGGCCAGTTGGAAATCAGACCAGCCGACCAGCAGCGATCACCTGCGACGACCAGCAGTGATCATCTGCGGCGACCAATCAACACTCCCCGTATACTATCTGTTTAATTACTACGGGAGGTTTCGACACCGTCCTCGACCAGCAATGCCTGCACTGCAACGTCCAACCGTCGACACGACCGGAACGTCTGCACCTTGACTCCAACCGTCGACATGACCGGAACGTCTGCATCTCAGCTCCAACCGACTACACGTCCAATCCAACCATCGACACGACCAGTCCGACCACCATTACCATGATTGGCAGACCAATATACCCCACTGTCTTTTCCTTATAAAATAAACTTAACATTAATCATTCGTTCTGTTGTCCATTTTGTTTCACCTTGTCAGATTTAACGTCTTTAATGCGAAAAACGTTAGCGGGCCTGTTGTGGCCTCATCGCTTACGATACGGGGGCGTTCATGCTTTCATACCGCGCCCCCCTCCAGGGGGTCCGCTACAACATATTTTCTACGAAATTTCTTGAACATTCAGACGCTAAATAGAATTAATACTGTTTAATTAAAAGTCAAAGCATTTACTTAAATTATATCCATAAAAATAACGTATAAACAGAAAATATATTAAATAATTGTCGGCCTTAATCCATTTAATATATATATATATATATATATATATATATATATATATAAAATGCTAAAAAATATAGTTTTAAGTTACGCTATATTTAAATAACGTAAAACGTAGCAAATTCAAAGTACTCAATATCAAGGATTGATCATGTGTAAATATAAGAGTTGACACTGAGGTCAAAACCTAGTAATGAGAAAATGTTTCATGTTTGAACGCAAAATTCAGGCCATGTATGTTGGATAGTAGCGCGACTATTTATATATGTTAGTCAATAAGGTATTATGGGTAACAATTTTAGGCCTTTCCAGTTTATTGATATATATATATACGCGCGCGCGCGCGTGTGTATTTAGGTAGCAAAGCAAATTCTCTTTTAGGCATGTCTGACTGAATAAGTTACAAACATTATGTCTGCTTATTTTGATCATAATCCTTTCATAGTCACGAATATTTTTCCGTATATAACAAATAAGGCAAGGAATGCACTGTAACAATGAGACTCGCTTTTACTTCCCAAGTACTTTACTTCTCTTTCTGAGATCATCATCAACGGTGCAGTTGGTAAAGCAAAAATCTATGTGTAGCTATACATCTCTGAATTTTTATTTTGCGTTTAAATGCTATGGCTGACAGTTATTCTTTAGCGTTCATTAGAACGTGAATAGTTATCCATGTTTTATGTTTGAATGTTATGGTCGAACATGCATTAATGCGTGAAAAGTGTTTTTTTTATAGGCATTTGAGAACACTATTACAGTATTCATAGCTGATTCTTTTCAGTATCGGCTTCAATATTTTAATGAAGATTGCTTCGAGGATCTGTAGTTTTTATTTGTTATTTTCTTGGTGTAGGATAGTTGTGCTATCAATTTGCATTTCTGTGAATGTGGGGAGAAATGTTGCTGTAGATGTCACCCAATGGACGAATGGTCCTATATGTGTAAAGTTCTGTCTATCCAATTTTTTATTAACTTTCAAAAAATTCCAAATTAGTTGCTTTATATAAATGGTAAATTTAACAAAATTCATTTTTGTTTTTTCAAGTGTACATTTTGTATTTTCGAATGTTGCTACATTCGTTTTCAAGTATTTCGTTTTTCTGTGTGTTTATGTAACTGTTTTCAGTGTTATCCATTTGTATAAATATTTTATTTTCCTTGCAACTCCAAATTCTTGTGCCAGACACAAAACTTAGTTGGTACTAACGTGAACCTTCGAAAATAAGCGCAACTTAAGAAGCAAGACGATCACTGCGTAGAATTTAAAAAACCGAAAAATATATTTATTTACAATTACATATTCGAAAAGTACCAAAACAAAGGTTGCACAGACATTTCCTTTTGTGCGCCTCTTTGGGCGGGATAACACTTTCTTGGGGTAACAACAAAAAAGAGATTACCCACAGAAATAAGAAAAAAAATGTCACAATTAGTTTCATAAGAAACGGATTCATATACAAAAAGGAATCCCTTAAAAAACGAAAAAAAAAAAAAACGAGAGAAATTTGGAGAAAGGACTTTTGTAATTTTGTTTTCATTCATGCCTGACTACAGTAGATCCTTTACCCTGAGCCTACCTCCTACGTAGTCTAAGATTCTTCCCTTTTGTCGTTACATGAAGAACATAACTTCATCCACTATATATATATCACCTAAAATCAACAAATACATTATATAAATGAAGACTTAACAGATTTTTATTTTTCCTTGTTTATTAGGCGTTCAAAAGAATGTTTTGAGCAAGCCTTTATACAATTATTTCCCATTCAATTTAAATTTGTAAATAAACAAATTAATTTTGTTTAATTTCACACCGAATAGGAGTCTTTCTTTTCTTGTGTGTCTATCAACTCTAGAACGTTTACATTTTCCTACTGATCTATCTATCTATCTATCTATCTATCTATCTATCTATCTATCTATCACTGTTCATATCTATTACACACTGTTCATATTTGTCTATCACACACTGTTCATATCTATCAAACACTGTTCATATTTGTCTATCACACACTGTTCATATCTATCTATCTATCTATCTCACGTATTGTTGATTCTATCTATCTATCATCATCATCTATTCATCTATCTATCTATAAGATATCACTGTTCATATCTATCACATTTCATATCTGTCTATTACACACTGTTCATATCTATCTTCATCTATCTATCTATCTATCTCATCTATTTTTATATCTATCTATCTATCTATCTATCTATCTATCTATCTATCTATTTCTATTTTCATATCTATCTATCTGCTATCTATCTATCTATTTGTGAAAGATATCACTGTTCATATCTATCACACACTGTTTATATCTGTCTAAATAATCATGCGCACGAAACTATCTATCTATCTATTTCCATTTTGACTGAGAAAAACTGTGGCATAAGCTTCGTAAATAATCATGCGTATAAAAGCGTCTAGACATTCAAGAAAATGGTATACAAGCGTTTCAAGAAAATGGCAGACGTTTAAAAATCCAAGTATTCTTGTCAAAAATTGGAGCCAAACTTTTCTTCCCGAAAAGTGGAAGGAGAAACAAAACGAAGCATCATTCCTTAAGTAGTATTTCCGAAAAGATGAACAAGAAGAACGAGAAGACGAGAAAAAATTAAAAAAACGGGTCGATATTGATTGATATTATCGACAGAAGCGGAAATGAGATCAACACAAGAATTAAAAGATGCGAAAAAACTAACAAGTCAGTAAGAGTTCGATATCGGAGTCCTCGTTTCTTTTTGAATCTTTTGCTTGTTTTTATTTCAATTTTTCCGAGAGCGAAAATCCTTGCGATTATTTGTTAGGAGTCACGTGACTTTTCTTTCACATCCGCAATTCAAACCTGCCACTTCCACACAATTCCGCACCGTCCATTGATGAGAGAAAATGAGTGTTGATATTCACTATTTTTGCTGTGGATACTGTAGTTTGGCGTTTTCAAAAGGAAATTGCTTGATTTTTATGCGCAGTATTTGCTCATACTTTGTTCTCAAATAGACCCTTTATACCACTAAGACATACACTAAAATACATATACATATTTACACGTGTCCCACACAGAGAATAATATATCATCGACACAGTCAAGCAGAATGAAAGGAGAACGAAAATATAGGGCCTTACATATAATATCGAGATTCTTCTGTTTTTCTAAAGAAGCTATATTGAGAACTCCAGATTCAAATGAGCCGGATTTATCTACTATATACCAAGCTGGAAGCGGCGAGTCCTGGGTTTTCCCAAATTGAGGTCTGCTAGCTGGAGATTTCTATATCTAGAGAAGATATTTTCCTAAAGGGGAACAGCACCATGGATTTGTAAGCTGTAATTTTGGCAGATGATATGGGCGAAAGTCCAGGATAGGACTAACCACACGCGTATCTTAACACTAATAAGCTTACTGAGTGAATGACTGACCACTTACATCACTGTATTAAGCGGCCTTCACGTGACCCACGTGACTACCTTGATCAAAGGAAGATAATTGCCTTTTGTATCCTTACAAAAGTAAAAATTGATAAAATGTCATATTTTTTGCAGTAAGGTTCACCCTGTACAAGGCCCGTGTGTCACTCGAGGTAGAGGGCTACCTTAAGAGGCAGTTTATGCGAATAGGAGGGAAAGATAACCGTTAGCTCTAGAGATGAACAGGTTAAGATTGTAGTGACCGGGGAAACATCCTCTTGGGAGTTGGTTTGCACAGAAGTGATTCGCGGAAAGAAGCTGTTCGAGTGGAACTTACTTCTTACCATTGGAATGAGGGAGGTTTGCTACGATGTAGGTCCTAGCCGTAAAGGTTAGAACTGGTGGAACCAAGGAATGTAGTTCGCCTCAGCACTTTTCACACACACACACACACACACACACACACACACACACACACACACAGAGAGAGAGAGAGAGAGAGAGAGAGAGAGAGAGAGAGAGAGAGAGAGAACGATTTTGAGCTCTATCGAAACTGGAAAGTGAGGACTGGGCAATTCCAGCCCAAATATGACAACAGTACTCCATTTTCGGTCTGATCTGGCTCTTGTAAAGGTAGAAGATAGCATGAGGAGTCAGGTACTTACTGAAGTAGTACAGAGACCCGACCATTTTACCTTCATCTTTAGCGATCGATCGTGAGGTTAGGTGTGAAATTAAGGCCCAATAGTCTCTAAAGGCACGGTGCACCCCCAACGAGGGGACATCGTGACTGGCGATAAATATATATAACATAATTAAATAAATTAAATCCAAGTAAAATAATTAATTAAATTAGTATTCCGTACATTTTACGATAAATATAAACAATATTTGACACTATTTACCTAGTTTATCTTACTAAGGTTTTTCCACAAAAATAGATTTATAAGGGTAATTAAATATAGTAACAATTTTTCTATAAATAGGTTAGATATTTGTTGAGAGACAATAAGATAAAATAATTTAATAAGATATATTGAATATGCAACGAAATAAGTAATTTAAAATAAACAATTAAATAATCACTAAGTTTGATAGCCTATAGATTTCTATTATCCGAATTACGTGATCGTTGGTAAATTTGCCGTGTAAAAAAAAAAACGGACATTTTACCGCTTCTAGATATTTAAATATTGTCACGTCCTTAATGAACTCTAGCGTAGTACGTATTTCAAATTTTAAAATTAAAATCTATCATGGAGAAGCTATACTAGAATGCTAGTCGAGAAATGATTGATCACCGTCTTGGGTATGACGATAAACTATATCCAGCAGCAAGGCCTCTGATCGGAATGTGCAAGCTGATTTCTTACAAAGAATACATATTCTATTCATACGAACCTATCCTACAAATCTTGTCGGCATTAAATAACCCATTGTGGTTGATATGCCATGAAGCACAATCAACCCAAGCCCAATGATCGATCTCAGCTGGGCCCATGGGAGAGAAAGTTTGATGTCACTGAGCCCCGAAACTTTCTATGACCCTAGAATAAACATCACTGAGAAAGGATCGTGGTGCGCAATATCGTATAAAACGAACGAATGAGATCTAGTAATAATTTCAATGGATTTATTATAACATCTGACTCTGACTAACGGCTTTGCGCGATGCTCTGAAGTCGGTCAGTAAGATAATTCCATTGAACATTTATTGAATATTTTATGTATTATTCAGGTGTGCTTACGAGACTTGCTGTCACGTGATCTCCATGAAAAGCCACGAGATGTGAAACCTTAACTAGTGAATAAATGGACTTTGATAGATAGTGTTTGGTGTACAAGCATATAAGCTGAAGGTGTGATAGAGTTATGTCTCTTAGATTTGGAAATATTTGTACTTGAGCTCATAAAGAAGAAGTAATTATTAAACTGTAGTTTAGAAGAATAAGGTTCCTTTAGCATGTTAGAAAATGTGTATTGGATAAAGTTGGTAAGAGTTCAGAAGATATTTTAGATTTCGTACTTGCGTGAATGTTGGTAATGGTCTTTAACGTATGACCGCAAGGCTAAGATGGGAGTTCTTGAAGATTACATCTTGGCAGCAAGGAGAAAGATAAATGAAAAGAAACACGATGGAACTTACACATGTTTTGTTTATAAATGGCTGTGTATCACGTGGTAGGCTCAGAGCATATTGAGTGGGAAAACAGATTTGTCGCGTGTAGGCGGTTTGATTGGTCGGAACTGACCAATCAGCGAGTTAGTTTTGAGGAGATCAACCAATGAATGCTTGTCGCATGATTTCTATGTATGATGGTGATGATAATTACCCCACACTCAATGATCGAGAATAATTGACGAAATGTTGGAGTGAATAAAATGTCAGTTACTAATTTTTATGATAGATTTAGTGTATTTTATACATGTGTCTACGGAGAAAAAATTTATCGGATTTATACTTCAGTCTACAGGTAAACATTGGTCGGGTTTATACTTGAGTCTAGAGGTAAACATCGAGTTTATACTTGAGTCTACAGGTAAAATTTGGTATGGTTTATACTTGAGTCTACAGGCAAAACATTTATCGGGTTTATACTTGAATCTACAGGTAAACATTGTTCGGATTTATACTTGAGTCGAGAAGTAAACATTTATTGAGTTTATACTTCAGTCTACAGGTAAACATTGGTCGGGTTTATACTTGAGTTTACAGATAAACATTGGTCCGGTTTATACTTGAGTCTAGAGGTAAACATCGAGTTTATACTTGAGTCTACAGGTAAAATTTGGTATGGTTTATACTTGAGTCTACGGGTAAACATTGGTCGGATTCATACTTGTTTGCAAGCATCCACTCAGAAGGTTTTCTCTTTTGATGGTGGTTGGGATTTTATTCCATTTCGAGGGTCCGGGTGTATTCTAGATCAGGTCGACAATACAAGATGCTTGCTGAGAGTGAGTGAGAAATTGTTTCTAATCTAGACAGCCGGTTCTCACATTTACGCCATGTTTTTTTTTTATAAACAACTTTTAACGTGGGCGAAGAAGCACACACACACACACACAGAGAGAGAGAGAGAGAGAGAGAGAGAGAGAGAGAGAGAGAGAGAGAGAGAGAGAGAGAGAGTAGACATTTTATATATATAAAAAAATAAAAACAACGGCTCGTTTTTATGTCAGACTCCCGACGCATTGTTCACGGAATTCGAAGTCTACGTAGGAAGTGTAATTTTTTTGAGTTAATTTTTTTTTTAAAGAAAATCAAAGCCTTATGGATTATTTCTTGAAGAAGACCAACCGGTGTGTTGCACAATTGTTCAACATTTCTACTAAGATTTATTTTTAATAATTATTTTTAGCATGAAAGAAGCCAATTAGAGAAACAGTGACGAGAAACGTGAATAAATTAGCGAAAAAACAACCAAAGATGACAATATTTATCGATGAAGCCCAAATTAAAGCTGTTTTCCATTGAAATATTTTGTTAACTCGAAATGCGCATAAAAAATTTAATCGACAAAGTCATACTAACGAACACTAAATGATTGATTCTAGAAAAAAAAGAATAATTTGAATATATTATCTGATGTGCGGGCGGTGATTGAATGTTCGGGTGGATAGCGGATAGGAATGAGAAAATGAAGATCTGAATTCGAATTCCAACCGACTTTGTTACATTCACTTACCTACAAATACCCTTGGGAATGAATCCACATCTACGGGTTAAATAATAAAACATACGCTTCAGTTTAGAAGAACTCTGAATTCAAAAGCATGGGCAGTCTTGGCGAAGCTAAGGAAAGGATCGTAGGGGTTTACAATGATTCTGTAATTCTAACCATGATCTGCTTTCTATTATATGATTAATGTTGATTATGTCTTAAAAAGATGTATGAATTGAACTTAGTAGCATCATTTCTTTACTCTTGATTGCACATTTAGCTGGGCTTGAACACGTAAGACGGCTCTTCGATTTCTCATTCTGAGCCAGCCAGCCAGCCAGCCAGCCAGCCAGCTATCTATCTATCTATCTATCTATCTCACTCTGTTTATCTATCTATCTATCTATCTATCTATCTATCTATCTATCTATCTTATCTATCCATTCATCTGTCCATTCATCTATCTATCTATCTATCTATCTATCTTAGTCTGTCCATCTATCTATCTATCTATCTATCTATCTATCTATCTATCTATCTCAGTCTGTTCATCTATCTATCTCAGTCTGTTCATCTATCTATCTATCTATCTATCTATCTATCTATCTATCTATCTATCTATCTATCTCAGTCTGTTTATCTATCTTAGTCTTTTCATCTCTCTATCTATATATCTAAATTCAAGATTGAGCTAGATAATAATACTTTTTAGTTAAAACTTTTATTTTCAGATAGTTAACATTTTGTTAGCGTGTGTTGTGTGAATGCAGCAGACTGTGTTCACAAACTTATATATAATCGGATATACAAACAGACAGACAGAGTATTAATTTCTATATTCATTACCCTGACATTTGACCCATCCGTTTCCCCGACCCAGATTTTTCAGTTGCATTTCCGCTGTCGTCGTCTTGTCAGCATCCGCACAGCCATAGTCAGATGAAAATTGATCTGCAGCATCCAAAATTAGAAATCCTTTAAATTATTCTTGAAAGCAGGGATAAAACAAGCAAATTGATGACCTGTATCTTACACACAGGCGCACGAAATAGCTCTAATACTGGGGAATACGACACAGTCGGGGCTTTGTCTACGGACAGAGACTCGGCTCAGAAAAACAGACCAGAAAAATAACCTTTTCCACGATTGCGGGGGTGGGTAAATTTTGACCTTTGGCCCGAGTGTACGCATTAGGGTCTTACACGTTAAACTCGACCTTGTGTCACATCTCGTCTACAGTACGGCGACCGGGTAAATAAACCGGGCAAAGGGAGGAAATTGGCATTTTTTAAATTAAGTAATTTTTAACATGAGGAAAGTAAGTTCAATTACGTGTAAAGTTTTTCTTGTCAGTATTTAGTTTTAAAAGAAGCATATTATCTGGCACAAAATCATTGGCAGTTGCAAACGATATATTTCAAGCGCAAAATACCCACTATCTAGGAGTAGATAGGTTCACCTATAGTCCGGTTCACACTCCTCCCCAGTCTTATGAACAGGAGTAGAGGTTGATCTCTTGTTTCCTGTTGAGTATTGGGTTTTCGGCTCCTTTTAAAGTATTTTCCTTGTATTTCACCTCGTGTGATTCTTTGGGTCTTGGTGACATTATCACCTTGCTTGGAGTGGTGCCGCTTATTCTGTAATCCTCTTGGGCCACTAATTGTAGAGGATATATATATATATATATATATATATATATATATATATATATATATATATTTATGTATATATTTTCACCGTATATATAAGGTGTTATAGTAATTTACCTATGCACGCATGGACTCTCCCAGCTATAAATAGGAGCAGGTACTGCCTTTTAGAGAAGTGTAGTTTCCAGCAGTCAGCTCTGATAGTCGGACTGAATATTCTTGCTGTAACACTCTCGTTTTTATTACTGTTTTTCTGTTAATATATTTGTTTAACTCAATTTCTCTCTTGTGTCTTTATTTCTGGCCATAACAAGGCCACAACATAAGGTGAACATATTTGTAACAAAAATACAAAATATACACTTACCTTCTTTATCCAGAAAAGGACAGTATACAACTTGAGCACAAAATCCCTGTTTTTAAATTCGTTAAATTACTATATGGGTTTCATTTAACATTTCATCACTGTCGAGAAGACCCTAAATTCTCTCCAATTTTGATGAACGTTTGTACTAACAAAGAAGTTCCTTGCATTGAACCTATGCGTCCTCGGTATGACGATAAACTATATCCGCGTTCTGGGTAAGACGATAAACTACATCCAACAACAAGGCCTCTGATTATGAGGTTTTGAGAAACATGGAACCACCTCTTAACTGCTGGTGTCCCTAGTGCCACCTTGATCCAGGGTGGTAGCACCTGTTAGGGTCCCAGCTATGGGCAAACTAGTTAACACCCAAACTAGGGTCAAAACACTATGAAAGTGTAAAAATAGGTTTTAATACCAGAAATACTTTGTAAAAACAATTATTACCAGCAATACATTTAAAAAAAAAAAAAAAGCACTTACCAGCAATACATTTTTGAAAAAAAAACAACGATATTACCAGCAATACATTTTTGAAAAAAAACAAAAAAAAAAACAACGATATTACCAGCAATATATTTTTGAAAAAAAAAAAATTACATATTACCAGCAATAAAAATTTTGTCGGCATTAAATAACCCACTGAGGTTGATATGCCGTAAAACAAACCAAATCTAAACCTTGAACGTATACTGGGACTGAAGCTCAAGTCAAACCTCAAGTGGAACTCGTATGTACGAACCATTGCTTAAGATACTGGAAAAAAAGTTTTGACGCCTTGTACCGCTCCAGAATCTTGAATCCTCCTGACATACTCTGTTTTTACAAGAGGCCAGGCATGGATTATTGCTGCCATGTTGCCCTTTCTAGCCATGATAGAGTTCAAAAACGTTTACGCCGCCTTGTGGGTGATGAACAATTTTCCAACTCCTAGACGAAACGTTGCTAGTTCAACACTACTGCTACTGTTTTGGCAAATGGTCAGATGAGTTACTGTCCTTCGTTCCACCAGTTCAGACATTCACAGCTAGGACCCACCAGTTCACTTATACAGGGTCGGTGCATCGTCATTCCATTGGTATTCATTTGGTAAGGTGGAAGTTCTACTCAAACAGTTTCTTCCTCTGAATTGTTACTTTGTGGAACAGACTCCCAAAAGGATGCTTATTCGATCGCTATAATCTTAACCGCTTCAAGTCTCGGATCAACCGTTATCTATCCTACATATCATCATATTATACTTACCCTTATTTCCCTATTTTGCGCCTTTACAACAACCTCATTCAGTAACCCCAAACTTTGAATTCCTCTTGGGCCTTGTATAGGGTATATGAAAACCTCATAATGTTTACTTTAACATCTTTTTGGAACGGGTACAAGACGTTACCCATGCTTGTTTAATTTGTCTTTTATCTATGTTAGATTGATTGATTGATTGATTCGTTAGCAAACCTTTGCAGATTATTTAAGCCCAGTAAATATTTTTTTTTAAACTGTAAGAATTTTGTTGGAGATAATAATGATATAGTGATACAAGTCTTGCTAATTAACCCATAGTTGGAGGGAGAAGAGGTGGATTCATACCTTTCTCAAGGGTATTTCTGCGTAAGTGAATATAAACAAACCCAACTGGAATCAGAATTCAGCTTTCTGATTTCTAATTCCGAGCCATTATCCATTACACCACCTGCATATCCAAGCTTATAGCACCTACTATTCCCAAGCAGTCACCTATCTAGGGACTGACGTTGCTTAACTTCAGTGATCGAACGAGAATCCGTGTTTCAATGTGATATGGCATTAGCCCGCTACACGAGACGTGTTTGTTCAACTAATAATATTTAATAGTATTTCCAATTAATAAGAACTGTACTGTTTGTCCCAAGAAGTAAATAGAAGAGGAAAGTTAATAACTTTCTAATTTATTCAAAGACTTTTTGTATTTAAACTATTTATATTTTATATTAAAGGTACCATCTTTGAATAAACAAATTACATTTAAATTTTATCATTTTGCTATCGTCCTGAATATGACGATAAATTACATCCGGCAGCAAGAAAATTCTAACAAAAACGCCATTCTCATACAACAACACATTGTTAATGTTTCCCTCACATACTGGCGCCACGTATTGTTTACATTAATCACTCGTCCGATTTTGTTTGTATGACAATGACATACTTTTCAAGAGCATGTTTAAGCTTGTGGCTCGGCTCCAGGAAGGTTTATAGCTTTGAAAATATTGTAACAGTTAAGTACTGAGGTTACACCATATAAAAGGCTGAATTAGATAGATAGCTAACATTATAATGTAGTGACTCAACATACAAGTCCACGTCCTTATCAGTCAAGACAATTAGGTAACCGTCCAAGCTTACTTGAGTCTGGGCGTTACCTTACATTCGTCTTGGAAGACGCACACCTATTTTTCGGGGTATTCTTTTTAAGAAAAAAGTGTGTCTTGTAAGCCGGATAATACGGTAATTGCTGTTGTCCTCAGGTTCCCCTGATTCGGGATGTTAACACCTGTTTGGGTCCCAGCTTTGAGCAAATAGTGAAACCCCAAACTGGGGTAAAAAATCTGAAAGTTTTGGAAAAAAAAATAAATAAATAAATAAATAAAAGAGTAAATTACCAGCAACAGATTTTAGTAAAAGAAAAAAATACCAGCAAAAGATTTTTTATAAAAAAAAAATTGATCAAACTCCCAAGAAAATTACATTTCAGCATTAAATGACCCATAAGGAGTTGATGTGCCGTTAAACAAACAAATCATTTTGCTGTCAACAAAACGGTAGGCACTGAATTCGTTAAATATAAATAAAATGTATATCAGCAAATTTGATCTTATTGTATTATTTTATGGATTATTTCTTGCCTGTCAGGTTTTAGCCTAAAAAAAAAACGTAATAAATCCACCAGATTTTAACGAAACCTTTTTCTCCTCAGGTATTTATCGACCACCTTTTGACTCCCATCAACATTATCAACATTTTTTGAACTCTTATTGCTAATAGCATCGACCCCAGGGATCGATATCGACCACTTTTGAGACCCTTGTTCAGACTAAGCTAAATCTAGCAAATATATGTTAAATGCATTCTTTTGGCGGGAAAAGGTTTGTGAGTTAATCTAGCGGACCATTGTGTAGTGAGTACATTTATGACTGTGCCTAAGTTTGGTTAAATCACCTTGAAGCAATGGTTTACGAGCTAATTTTGTAGACAATTACTACACTGCCTTGCGTCGGACCCTCAAGGGATGGCCTACATTTGTGGCCTTGCTAGGCGTAATAAATATCCTACTCGCTATAGGTTGATTCAAGCTGCACACTGACGTTTCTCGCTTAGTCAGTCCACAAGATTTTATTTTTGAGCTCCTAAATGCTGTCAACTTTCATCAACGCACATGCTAACCGCTGCTTTCGTAGTGGACATTACTGTGGCCTTATCCGGTTAATATAATAAAAAATATAAAAGATACTGTTATAATATTTATGATTAAGATGCAATCAGGGTCAATTTAAAAATAAAAAATAAAAAAATTCTACTTTCTTTATATTATTCCTGTTGCACACTCTAACAACATTAAGGGATATCCACTTTTTCTATTTATGAAAACAGTATACTTCTAGGCCTATTTATATATTTAAATAATATTTGCACTGATTGATGATCGCTAAACGTATTTAAATTAACTTAATTATATGATATTGTTTTCAAATAAACTCTCTGCCACGTTTTGCTCTCAATCCCTTTCACTCTCTAGTATTTTCTTTCTTTTTCCTGGTTTTTCTCTTTGCTTGAAATGTGGTCAGAGGGATGCGATTGTCTCCGTTTGAATAAGTCACTGAAAGAGCGCAGGAATATCAGGATAAAAACAGCAAAATGAAGCACGGCAAATCGCTTTTTATCCGCTTCCGCCATTTTGTCCAAATTGAAAAGGAAAATAAAGAAAAGCGAATGACTGAATGAATAAATAACACATTTCTCTCTATTACTCGTGTTGTCCTTCTGCGACCTTGGGATCGGATGCTTCTTTTTTCTTCTTAGTAGTAGTAATAGTGGCAATCATATAGTTCTGTTCTTTTTCTTTTTCCTTTTACTTGTTGCCTTCTTCTTTTCTTCCTCTTTCTCTTCCTCAACCTCTTCTTATTCTTCTTACTATTATTAAAAGTAATTTTAAAGTCCTACCCCACCCCCTATTTATTCCTTCTTCTCCTACTCCTTTTTATTCTTGTTAGTAGTAGTAGTAATCATATAGTTATATTTTTTTACTTTTTCCTTTTTGTCCTTTTTTGTTGCTTTTTTCTTCTCTTCCTCTTTCTTTTCTTCTACCACCACCTCCTCCTCTTCTTCTTATCAGAAGCAATTTTAAAGTCCTACCCCCCTATTTATTCCTTCTACTCTTTTCTTCTTCATGTTAGTAGTAGTAGTAATGATATTCATATCATTCTATTCTTTTTCTTTTTCCTTATTTTACATTTTCCTCTATTCCACTTCCTGTTGTTCTCTTTTCTTCCTCTTTCTCCCTCTCCGTTTCCCCTTCTTATACTTCTTGTTATTATTATTATAAATAATTTTAAAGCCATATCCCATTATTTCTCCCTTCTCCCCTTTCCCTTCTTCTTCTTCTTCTTCTTCTTCTTCTTCTTCTTCTTCTTCTTCTAAAACCCTATCCTCTTTTCTTTCTTTGCATCCCCTTTTCTTCATTCATTTCGTAGTAGTAATTTTATAGTCCTATTCTTTTTCTTTTTGCTTGCTCTTTCATTTTTCTCTTCCTTACGCTCCTCTTGCTACTCATTCTTCTTCTTCTTCTTCTTCTTCTTCTTCTTCTTCTTCTTATTCGTAGTAGTAGTAGTAGTAGTAGTAGTAGTATTACTACTACTCTGATAGCCATATTCCATCTTCCTCTTCTTTCTGCGGCAACATCTTCCCTCAACATCTGATGTTTTTTTACTTTTACGAGATTACGAGCATTTTCTTGTTGCTATTGTGATGGGGAAAAGAAAGGAAAACTATTTTGTTTAAAATGGTTTACAGTATGTGTTTATGTCTAAGGGATAATGCCGGGTAAGAATCCTTTGTTTATGATTACGATCAGCGTAACGTACACACGAAAAATAATAATTTTTTTTCCTTTTTAAGAATCCCGCATTATTTTCTTTTATTGACTTAAATAAGGTCATGTCCTTAAACACGAATACATCATCGTAGAAACCACGTAAACATTACGGGGTGAATTTTTCTCGAGACCCTGTCAAGGTTGATAATGGGTGTAATTCTTTTTTTTCTTAATGAAACTATCACTGCCTGGGCATTAATGTATTTATGGAAGAGTGATTTTCCTAAGTGCTCATTCACCTACACTTTTCTTTTGTAAACCATCAGGATGCGTCAGCGACGTGACATATATTTTATACAAGGTATATCTAAAGAGCGCGAGAATACGGATTCATATTCTTTTAAGGATATTAGCGCTAAAAGTGTATTAAAATTCGACCCCGATTTACTGTTTCCGTTTTACAAGCTGTTAACCGTTATGCCAACTCTGCTGAATCTCTTTACTTCTCTGTATTTCTGTTTATATATATATATATATATATATATATATATATATATATATATATATATATATATATATATAAGTAACGAAAATCTTGGTAATCCGTATGGATGGATAATCCCAAGGAGGATGAAATCCTGAGAGCCCAATATTAATTCAGGGCGAATAATTTAAAAAAAACAGACCACTTTAAGGCTTAAAGTGGTCTGTTTTTCTTTAATATATATATATATATATACTCATCCACAGAGATACTGTTTGGCTGTATCACAGGTCCTTAGTGTGGCTAGACATCCGATCGCTTCAAGCCAAAACCCGGCCGATTTAGTCGGAGATTCTAACCCCTAGGCTATTGACTCTCGGCAGGGAGAAAGGCCAATTATATATATATATATATATATATATATATATATAATACCTGGTCGATATTCGAGGATACCCGTCTACTAGGGCGGCTAGGCCTTTTGCAGACCTTCGCTCAGGAATATTTGTGTTTGTCCATTTGAGCACTCGGGAGAAAGGAGATTTTAAAAACAGCAGCTATTAATGTATTACTCTTCAAGTACGAATTGAGTTCTCCGGGTCGCTGGCGTATTACGTATAGTAAAAATGTTAAAATTTCCCTTCTTCTCTGCCGTGCGACGGTGGCCTAGAGGTAGGATATCTGACTCTCCGGATATTCAGATCGCTCCGGTTTCGATCCCAGCTTGAAGTCATCGGACATCTAGCCACAGATGCGAAACAGGATGATGATGATGATGATGATATATATATCTATATATGTGTGTGTGTGTGTGCGTGCGTGCGTGCGTGTGTGTGTAGAATCGATAGGTTGGTTAATAAAATAAAGGAGAAACGAAAAGGTACCAATATAATCAGTACGATAAATATTTATTAAATATAAACCATTTGACAGAAGCCCGAAGGAAAATATTATATACGCGCAACAGAAAACCTAATTTTGGAGCTAATTTGACTACAGAAATGGTTATATCTTTTGGTCTGGGCCAGCAGTACGCACACTAATTTATATCTCACGTATGATGCGACCCCCTTAAAATTTACTTCAAAATTAGGTCTCCCAAAATCGCATGATACGCGAATATATACTATATATATATATATATATATATATATATATATATATATATGTTCCGTATATATTCTATATATATATATATATATATATATATATATATATATATATATATATATATATATATCATTGATGAAGGGGCATGCCGTAGGGGCATGCCGTCCATTATGTAGGCTAATCGCCGAGGTGGAGTGGGGGAATGGAAAACCTCACTCTGCGCCCCACGGATCTGTCCCCTCGTCAAACATCTGTGAATATTATGTGAACAAATTTTAATGTGAGTAAATACACTTCTACCAATAGGGTCCGCTTCAGACATGATACTCTTCTCCATTGGACTTGATGCTCCCTCGATCATTAGGAATAACCTGGCGACGATGTTGACCGCTATTGGCTACGAGAGAAAATAATAATAAAATCTAAAAATAATGAATTATTAAAATTTATTTGTAAATCAATTTAGTTCTTCGTTTCATTTTGGTAACTTCACATTGACCACTTTTTATCAGCTCCACTCTCGACCTTCATCTTCTTCAAAAGGTCTTTATTCATGGAAATGAAAACTAAATTATTTAATCGCTCTTCATTTTGGGAACATCTCATATAATTATTTACACGCTTAGTGAAGAAAACGATCTCTCACAGGAAGCAGATGTGACAGGTATGGTCGGAATTAGACGTGGACATTTTTACTATAATTTTTAAAAAATGTTTAAATAAATTTCTTATAGGTGTCAGAAAATGGTGTTGATTGATGACTGGGATAGTGAAAATTTGTAATTTTGACGTAAACTAAATTAATATTGTTTTAATTTAAATCGTTTTAATTACCCAAATTTTCTTTTAAGATAAAGTTCAACCTTTCTTCTTTAAAATAGCACCAACATTAATACGTGAAATTTGAATTTAAATACTTTTGTCTAATTTTAAAATTAGATGAATTTTTCAAAAATGTCCTTTATCAAAATTTAACATGTTTAATGAAGTAATATATGATATTATCAAGAAATTTTTACGTACTTTAAAAGAAATAATTTTGAACATTTAAAATAAAATTTTAAGTAATTGAAACAGATGTAAACTCATCTATTAATCACAAAAATAGACTTTGCGGTTGTTCCTTTTAGCTCCACGTATGAACTTTTGGGCAATGGTCACATCACTGAATCCGGGTCTTAAGAAGGGGTCAAGAATAATCTGCATGGGTTAAAAATTTTAAAATCAGTAAAAAAAAAGAACTTTTGATGTAACACTACAGTCGTCAGACGTTCCCTATATACTCTTCCGAAACGAATATTACAAAGTTTTCGTCTAAATTTGTCCGACTATAGGTCCTTCGAATAGGCAAGTCTTTGATTTCAACCGCGCGCAATAAAAACATCATTACTTCAGTAGAGAGTGCCTGCTGGCTTAATACGACCGGAAAGCAAGCAAAAGAAGTTTTCGGTGGCTTTCTCTGTGACACCCCTTACTTTATTATTCTGTCTCTTTTTCCATGCACCTAGCTTGAAGAGAATAATAAAAGAGGGAAGGCTAAAGCCACGGCTTTTTCTAACGCAAGCAAAAGAATTTCTGTGTTTAGGTGACTGTCTCTCTTTCACCCATTCACTATTATGTTCTGTCTCTCATGCTGCCTACTAAAAGGGCTAGTAAATTCATTACTTTTACTTAAATCTTTTCTCGCTAAACAACAAGCGTTTTCTTTACTTACACTCCATAAATATCGCTTGTGACAGTTATCCCAATTAATGAAGAAATGGAAAATATAAAAAATACACGCACAAAGAGTATAGTGAGAATTATCAATAATTAATTTTATATTACTGTTATAGTGGAACACACCTATTCTATAGTTAATAGACTCTCCCACCTATAATAAGTAGGAGTAGTAAGAGTAACGAGGGAGTCGCTCAGTGAGTGAGTCAGTCGATGTCGGACGACAGTTAGTCAAATACTAAAGTATCAGCGACCACAACTAGATTACTCTGCGTTATACCTATTATATCAAGTTCCTAACTTTTTGTACATCGAACCTATTTTAGGACCGACTTAGTACAAATACAAGCCTCCACTGCGAAATAATTCCACAACAATATGTGTGTGTGTATTCCTTTGAATCATGTACAGATAATTTTATGAAGACGTCAACTCGACAAATAAATTTGAGTTGGAGAAAAGAGGAAAACTAACGACTGTAAATATTGCCTAATCATTTTGAAATTATTGATTGAGTTTGATTGGATACTATCCTTTGAAATGAGAACAGCTCTGAAAACGGTTTCAGCAGTTTCATGAAAATATCTTGAATGCGTTCCAAAATCATCTATCGAACTCATTTTGGAAGACCTTGTATTTGTGCGCTAAACTCTTTATGTGCTTCGTAATATGTAATGAACCTATTCTCTTAGTACAAAAGCATTAATTCCTGAAAACTAACATTAGCTTTCTCCCGGACTTGTAAGGAATTAGTTTAGTGAAATCATTTAAAATGCATTCTTTATCGTAAAAAATGCTATAAAATAATTACCTCGATATATAGAACATAATGTGTAGCCATATATATATATATATATATATATATATATGTATGGTGTGTGTAATTTTTTCAATGTTGCCAGAAGATTCTACTATACAAAGATAGGCGAATTGCCCATCTCAATCTGCTGGTCTCTTTTGATGACATACAGGAAAAATAATTTTCAGTTATTTCAGAATTGACAAAAATCTCATAGTTATTTTTTCTCTTTCTACGCAGATAAATGGACATTAATTTTGCAATAGTATTAACATCAAAAACTCGAATATTTCCGTTATCTTTTTTTATGCCACGGTTAATCTAGTAAAGCATTTAAGAGATGCTCTTTCTTACTGCAATGCATTTTTATAGTCATATAATTTGTAAAGTATTTTAATGTAAAATAATTTGCAATGTATTGCTCTAGGAAAACTTAGTTAAAATATGCAACTAACTCTGTCATTAAAGCTTACATTAATTCATGACCACTGGCAATCTCTTCCTTTCTGACTTGTAATACATTTCTTTAGTAATGTAATCCGGAATGCATTTATGTGTGAAATCAGTCAGTTATGTGCCATGCGTGATACACGCTTAGGCGATCATGTATCTTTCGATGCATGACTAACAAGGCAGATTTTTTCCCGCAGTAGGTTGCCATTACTTTCTCTTTATAGAACCCCGTCTGCCCTACTATTTACTCATAGCTGGGTTCATACCTTTCCCAAGGGTATTAGCACGTAAGTGAATGTAATGGATTTGATTGGAATTCGAACTTGGCTCTCCGATTACTCAATCCGAGCCGCTATCCATTACTCCACCGTGCCTCCTTATGTATGTATGTATGTATGTATGTATGTATGTATGTATGTATGTATGTATGTATGTATGTATGTATGTATGCTTTGTTTTATTTTGTGTGTGTATGTCGGTTTTTTATGTATGAAAACATTGCTTAAAAGAATCTAAAACTAATACTGACTTTAAAGCTTACATTCATTCATGACATCTAACGATATGTTTCTTATTGATTTACAATGTATTTCTACACTAATACAATTTGCAGTACAATCCTATACAAATACAATTTGCAGTACAGTCCTATACAAATACAATTTGCAATGTATTCTAGTAGTAATACAATTTATAATGCCATCCTATACTAATACAATTTGTAAAGTATTCCAATCATAATACAATTTGCAATATATTCCTATAATAATACAATTTGCAATGTTTTTTTTATAGTAATGTAATTTGCAATAAATTCCAATAGGAATACAATTTGTAGTGCACTCCTGTTATAACGTAATTTGCAATACATTCTATTAATATTAAAATTTGCTATGCATTTCTATAGTAAAACATTGATAAAAAAAGGATAATTATACTTTTAAAAGCCCTAAATATTGCTAAACTTTAATTAATTTCTTTCTGATTAACAATGTACACCAAAATGGATGAATGTGATAATTTTTGGTAAAACTTGAGAAAATCAAACAAAACGTAGAGTCATTGTCATGCAAAGGACATCTGAAAAGAAAAACACAATATGTCATTGATGCACGGAACAAATGCATCAGGATCAATTATACCAAAATAAAAACAGTTAAACACCAATAAAAGTTTTTTTTTTGAGAGACAGAGACGAAACTGTAAAGAACGCCATATATGAATACAGCAAGGGGAACAGAAAAGCAGGCATGGCAGGGAAAAATCATTGATACCGAAGGAACTGTACAAACGACGAGGGTTAGACTATGTTAACAATGGCATCTGTAAAAACAAAAGCCTATCCTCGATAACAATATGAATAATACAACTGGGGACTTTGAAATCCAGTGTATCATCCCGCCAAATCAAGAACATCGTACCAGATAATCGTAAACAAGGAAAAACAGGACTTATGAGATCGTGGACATGGCGGTACCAGCATAATACAAAGGGAAGATTGAAACAATGTGAAAAATTGGAAAATACCAGGAATTCGTTCGTAATTTGAAAAAAATGTCAGTATCATGTCCATATCGAAAACATTAGAATCTTTTTTGAATGAATTCAAGATTTGAGAAAGGGTTCAGATTCTTTTATTCCACGGGAGTACTTGATTCTGCGAAGATATTCAGAAAACTTCTGAAATTTTAAAGACAAAACTTAATGAATTCATACATTTCTTGGGAAAGTCATGAATCAATTTCGTCCTTCCCCACACAGCTAAGAGTAAAATAGCAGAAGAGAGAGAGAGAGAGAGAGAGAGAGAGAGAGAGAGAGAGAGAGAGAGAGGGCTATATAGCCTTGGTTGACAACCAGTCTAAGAAAAGACAACTGTGAATCCAAACTGTATCCCAAGTCGGGTAAAAGGTTAGGGTTGAGCTTGGAGGTAACGAATCCATCATCTAAACCACACTTACTAACGAGTGTTTGAATAATTTGTTTTTTACAACATATCAACCTTTTACAGGTTTTACGACTTATCAACCGTTTGCAGGTTATTTAAAGCCAGCAAATTCTTTGAAGATAATAATTATTTATTGATATAAATCCTATTAATTAACCCATAGCTGGAGGAGAAGAGATAGATTCATAGTTTTCCCAAAAGGTATTTGCGCGTAAGTGAAAATAACCAACACACCTCGAACCGGAACTTGGCTAACCAATTTCCAAGTCCGCGCCGTTATCTATTACACCATCCGCACATCTAAGATTACAGCAAATGGTATTCTCAAACGGTCATCTATCTAGGTATTGACTCGGTTCGACGTTGCTTAACTTCGGTGATCGTATGAGTACCGGTGTTTCAATGTGATATGGTCGTAAGCTATTTATGCTACCTGCACATTCAAGCATACAACACCTGGTTTTTCCAAACGATCATCCATCTAGGTAATTTGCTAGTGAAATTGAAGCATTATCACTCATGGTGTAATGTAGTTTCGACCTTATGTTCAACAGGGAATCTATAAGGAATTAGCAATACACAGAAAGGTTGACTCCAGAAAATTACTGGGTACTGAAGAAAGGTTATAAAAATTGTAACAAATTTCATTATATTAGAAAAACTATGTGATTCAAAGCAAAGAAAGCCAGCTCAAAATAATCAATAGGGCCGAGCATTCCATATAAACAGAATTGAAAGTCACGCATCTATTGAATAAGGAATGAAGTCGATACACCAAAATGTTAATTTAAATATCTTTTGCTAACTTGAATTTTAAAATTACTTAGAGTATGTTACATCGTTTCAAATTTGCCTTTACCATACAACTGTATTATTTAACCTCTATTCTTTTCTTTTGTGATTTCATAGTTTTTGTTTTTAATATACTTATATCCATAACGTTATATTAAAAGAAATCTAACAGATATTTACTCTCTTATTAAAAAATAAAAACTACAAAAACCGTTCTTTTCGCGTATGGAAGCTCGAACTAGCTAAATAAATACTGTATTTCTGACATAAAAATAATACCTTGAAAAATCAACCTGTATAATGTATGGTTGTCAGCAAGACGAAAAGCCCAAGATGTAAACTACAAATCGGAGATGTCAAAATGAAACACGAACAGAAGTTTACATATCTGGGGAATGTTTTAACAGAGGGTGGAAAATGTGACATCGAAATCCGAAAAGGCATTGGAATAGTAAAAGTTGCCTTCCAAAAGCTAAGCAAAGTATTAAAAAAACAGGAAAACTTAGAAAGAAAAGAAAGTATTAAACGATTATGTAATATCAATCATCCTATCTGACTGTGAATGCTGGACAATATACTCGCAGATGATTTTGATTTGATTTGTTTAACGGCGTATCAACTTCTTATGGGTGATTTAATACCGAAATTTAATTTTCTTGTGAGCTTTGAAGTAATAAAAATATGATATCGTTATTGTGCTTTCACAATTGAATACATGGTAGATGATTTTCAACTTTTGTGCATATACATGTTTGTGTGAACATAATTACGAGAGGCGGTGACATGTGTGTTTTATGTTGTGGTTTTGTTGAAGCTATATTGTGAAATACAGTTTGATTTCTTTAAGAAATTGAAGGATATTATATGGATTAATGTCATGAAAAGGTTCTTTTATGTTGGTTGTTTGTTTGGTTGATTTTTTAGCGGCATATCAACATTTCTATGGGTTATTTAATGACAAAATATAAATATTTTGACCACAATGTTGTAGCTTTAACTATAGATACAATGTATTGTTGGTCATTTTGCTATAAAATGTATTGTTGATAATTCTGCAATAAATAAGTATTGTTAGTCATTTTGCTATAAAATGTATTGTTGATAATTCTGCAATAAATAAATATTATTGGTCATTTTGCTATAAAATGTTAATAGTTCTGCAATAAATAAGTATTGGTGATCATTTTGCTATAAAATGTATTGTTGATAATTGTACAATAAATAAGTATTGTTGGTCATTTTGCTATAAATTGTTGATAATTCTGCAATAAATAAGTATTATTGGTCATTTTGTTATAAAATGTATTGTAGATAATTCTGCAATAAATAAGTATTGTTGGCCATTTTGCTATAAAATGTATTGTTGATAATAATTTTGCAATAAATAAGTATTGGTGATCATTTTGCTATAAAATGTATTGTTGATAATTCTGCAATAAATAAGTATTGTTCATCATTCTGCTATAAAATGTATTGTTGATAATTCTGCAATAAATAAGTATTGTTGGTCATTTTGCTATAAAATATATTGTTGATAATTCTGCAATAAATAAGTATTGTTCATCATTCTGCTATAAAATGTATTGTTTATAATTCTACAATAAATAAGTATTATTGGTCATTTTGCTATAAAATATTGGTAATTCTGCAATAAATAAGTATTGTTGATCATTTTACTATAAAATATATTGTTGATAATTCTGCAATAAAGAAGTATTGTTTGTAAATGTGCAATAAATATGTATTCTTGGTAATTTTTATATATATGAAAATGTGTTACTGATATTTTTACTAAAAAATGTATTTTAATACTTTCATAGTCTATTGGTTTTGTTTATGAGTTCACTATTTGCCCATAGTTAGGGTCATACCACATCGGATATGGGTTGTCCTAGGAGCAATAGCAATCAACAGGTGGTCTCACGCTCTTCAGAACCTCTATCTCCCGACCAGAAGCCTTGCTGCTGGATATAGTTTATCGTCATACCGAGAACTATCCACACAGATGAAGAGGAGAATTGAGCCAAGAGAGATGTAGTCCTAAAGAAGGATGCTTGGAATACAATGAACTGAGCGTGTAAGAAACTGGAAGACTTTATGGAAAATGGAAACACAATGGTCGCATAAACTTAGAATCAGAAAGAGGCAGTTGAAATTTCTGAGACCCATAATGAGGAAAGAAGGCTTAGAAAATTTGACTCACAAGATATCTTAAAAGCGAAATGGACAGGGTGACAAAGAGAATATCCTACACAACGAGCTCGTGTAAAATGATGGCAAAACAAATAGTGAAAGAGATAGTAAAAAGGATGGGATATTATGGAAAACCATGATCGCCCACATCCGGGTGGGGCATGACACATAGAAGAAGAAAATATCTTATAGTCCAATGCTTGGTTTGAGGTCAGCCTTGAACTATATACCACCGACATTAGACTAACACCAAGACAATACTGTTTGACACTCTACTTCTCTAACAACCTCCGATGAGTTATAGGCGTGTATTATACGCGTGTGCGTGATATATGGTGGGAAATAAGGCAAATAAATATATTTTTACAAAAACAGAAAAATAGATACAATTGGGGCAGTAGTTCATTGAGAACTGTGCAGATTGATTTTGTGTTAGTCTATGCTGATGTAAGCAGAAGTAAGCTGTACTGGATAGCAGTAGAAGAAAAGATACTGGTATTTACTTGTTTCCCCACGAAGACAAGATTTGACACAAGGTCGGAAGCATGTGGAGCACCCGAGTGTGTGCTCCTTGACCAAGTTCAAAAATTACCCAGCCTCCGCAAGCATCGGTTGCGCTGGCATTGGTATTGCTACCGATCCCCTTCTTTAGTGCAACGAGGGGTATTGCCTCAGACAGCTGTTCCCCGGGACCGGGCATCCCTCAATATTTTCTCAGTTGCGCTCTGTCCGCGGACAGATACACAACTGAGTTGCACTCTACCTGAAAACAGACGTAACTGAGAGATGATAACAGCGAGACGGACAGCGTACCGCCAGACATTAGAAAGAAAAGATACTGTTTATAATAGAAACAATAGTAGTGGAAAGAAAAGTCGTAGAGAAAGCATTATTATTATTATTATTTTGAAATTCATGCTGATCGCAGGCATTGAGACAGTAAGCTGCAAAATGATGAATTTGACATTATTTATGTAGTAGGAGTAGAAGCAATAAGATCTTATTTATTGTTCTATGGACTCAAGTTGAGGAGGTTGTTAGGTAGAAGTTAACAGGGAGGATCCTGATCTAATTGACTGCTTGATGAAGGTTGTGCTGACTTCCTTGAGTGCGTTGCGTTATCAGACCAAGTAGTGGAAACTGGTACGTGCTTAGCGATGCGGATCTTGTTCAGAAATAAAGACATAAAAATACGAACAGAGCAGTAGCGATAATGCATGTCCATTCAGGACTTAGGCTGTGGAAACCTTGACTTTCCACAGATTTCTCCACTTTATTGTATGAAAATCGCCAAGCCTTGTTGGGAAAGACAGTGGAATGGCGAGGTTTCTTGTTGATATCTCAAACAGCTTCTTCCCACGACTCCCAAGAGGTTGCTTCCCCGATCACTACAATCTTCATCTGTTCAAGTCTAGTGCTAACCGTTATTTTCCCCACATAGACTGTGCCTCTTGTTCTGTAACCTTCTACCTTGAGTGGCCCTCGAGCCCTGTACAGGTTGAACATCACTCTAAATAAAATCTCCACGGCTCGGAATTCTTTCTTTATTTTAAACGAGCTACCACACAAGACTAGTCTACTCTGCTATTTAACCTATAGCTGTGAGTGCCAAACTTTCCAAGCCTTCTTTCCTCATTATGTGCTCTAAAAGTTTTAAATGCCTCTTTTTCATTCTAAGTATAAGTGTCCTTTTTACTTTCATCTTTTTTTTTCTTTAAAAAAAAAATCCTACAATTTACTAACATTTTTTATCCATGGTATCATCTGCATCTCTATTGCCTCAGGTTTATCTGTTTGAAAATTGTCCAGCTTTCACTGCCATTATTTACACTATCTACATTCTTCGGACTGTTGTCCTCATGTTTTTTGCCATATTCACGACGTTTCGGCCGTTGTGCGATCCGGCCTTCTTCAAGTGATTGGAATTTCAAATTGAACCCTTTATTTCGTTCACCGGGGTAGATTGCTTTAGTTCCACGTGCCATGCCTCTTCAGGATGTCTCGGTTATTTACCTTTAACTCAAATCTCCATTTTTTCTGCAGTAGTCAGGGATACATGACCCAGTCGATAAAAACATTGGTTGAATCCAGTGACTAGATCCAAAGAGCTGTGAGTTCAATACCGGGTTACTATTGTCCTAATAATGTAAATAGTGTAAATAATCACAATACCTTATGTCACAAATATAGACAGATATTACACTACCATCTAGGAGGATTGATATCCCATAGAACTTCAGTAATCTTTGCTTTGTTTCTATTTTCTCAAGTCTCCTCTTCATATGTGAGGAAACTTTTCAGCATTCAGTGCCATCTAGGAGGATTGATATCACATAGAATTTCAGTAATCTTTATTTTGTTTCTATTTTCTCAAGTCTCCTTTTTATATGTGAGGAAACTGTCCAGCATTCAGTGCCCATCTAGGAGGATTGAT